ATCATACGATTTTCATAAATGTTTTCATGCCTGACATTATAAGCCTATAAAACGTTTCTTATATATGCAAATCAATCATTAAAACACCTTTAAAAATTTTTAAGTTATTTATTAAGTCTTTTAAGACTTCTAAGTTACAACTGAAAATATAATGAGAATATTTATTTGATTTTTTTTTTTCCATTTCATCTTCTTTATTCTGTCTTCTTCAATCAACTGGATGTAACTTCAAAACTAAAGTTGAATTAGAGCGAAATTCCTTGAACGCTGCCAGAAGTTTCAAAAGAAAAAAAACTGCAAAAATTTAAGTAACTACAATGATTAACAATAGAAATATTAGTGATTCCAGATTTTTAGAAAATGCCTAGTCTGTAAATAAACTACAAAATGCATTCGATGAAATCTTGCGAACATCAACTTCAAATTTGCGTGAAGATTAAATGAATAACATTAAAATTTCATTAGTAACAGCCTGTGAAAAACTACATAGCTAATTAAATTCAAAAGCATTTAATGTACATTGTAGATCAATTATTGCGTTATCTAAAAGGGTTATATCATCTAAAAGAATCCACAAATGTATTGAAATATAGAGTCGTAGCAAAAGAATTTTAAAAAGTTTTCTATCAGAATCCCTAGATGACGCCACAGTAAAAATTCCTCTTCTATGTTTTAAGAATGAAGCTCGAAAAAGCGTGAACCACTGCATGCTTAAATTTTCGTAAATATCAAAGCACGTATTTTTAAGAAATAGTATTTCGCTCATCTCATTCTGTTTTGAGATTTTAAAACTAGAGACGGAAACCAGTCATCAGAGGCGTAGCTACCGCTGTATCAGCCGTATCAATGATACGGGGGCCCCAAGCTACAGGGGCTACACATCCCGTGTAAGCAAATAATCGTGAAATAATAAGGGGCTCTAACAAAGGACCCCCAATGAATTTTGATTCAGAGCCCACTCAGGACTAGTTGCACCAATGCCAGTCATAACATTTATAGAAGGGGGAAAGAGGTGGAAGGCCCTGACCTCCTAGTTCTCTCTCAAAATTAGGGTGGAATCAAGTCAAATAGTATTGTGAGCTGTATGGTGCTCAAAGCTGCGGCTGACGACAGACGTAAGAAACTAGCCCCCTGCCACGATGAATTTCGTGGACCTCGATCTGACATCATCGATTAGGAGGCATCAGAAACAAAAACAGAATTATTTTAAAAATAAATTAATCAGTCATATATCTTTGCAACCAAATAAAAATCTCACAATATACCTTACATTAATGTTTATGTTCTTTACTTAAAATGTAATGAATATACTTTCCATCATCAAATTTATGTATCAATTTTTATCCAACGCTTAAAGTAAAGTTATGACGTTGCATTACAGTTACATAAACAATAAATACGAATTAAAATATTTACTTATAATTAATCATAACTCGAATTTATTTGAAAATAACTCTTTGGCATGCATACGAAATTCAATTTTATCATTTATTAAAGGTAAATTCAAAAATTAGTCTTATATGCTGAGAGTGCACTTTTAAAAACTTTAGATACAATTTAATATCAATGAGGGTTTCACATGTACAAATTAGTTTGCGGCAGTCTTCACCAAAGGACCTATTTTCTGTTAGGGAACTAATAACGTCTCAACGGTCAAGTAGTTTCGCGTGAGAAAGTATCCAAAACCGGATACTCCAACGATTATGTTCTAAGGTAAGTCAATTTCAGACCTTCCTTTATCCAGTCGACAGAGAAGTGACCAGCGCAGTTCCCACGCCAATTTCCAACTTATATCCACTGCGTGAGGGGTAACAAGGACCAATGGCCAGATATTAATCCCGGCTACGTCCAAACAGGAATGATTCCACCCCACGTCTTGCTTTTGCGAGCGTGACGTGTCCCACCTTTAAATAGACACTAAAAGAGGAAACCTATTTACTTTACTACGCTTCTACACGCTTCAACATTCTACAACGCCCCAACACACACCAACGGACTCTCTCCGATTGACTTCGGGATTCGCTTGGACTATCTCGAGAATGTCAATGTCTTCCTAACGCAGCCTTTCACAGGAGTGATAACTTAACGGTGACCTCAACGGTGTAGCTCCTTAGCAAGTTTTTTGAGTTTGTTAATGAGGATATTGTATTATAGATCTAAGAACTAATTTAGTATTTATAGAATACAATATTATTCAACAATACAGTAGAACATCGTTTATCCGAACGTTTATTATCCGGAGCGTCAAATATCCGAACCAAAGTCCGGATACGTTTTCGAACAGTGCAATGCTCAACAGTTGTTTAAAGAGAGGCCAAAAGTGACTGGAAAACCCAAGGTGAAGGACATTTGGGGGATTTCAGCAGTGTGTGATTTGGTGAACATCTGCGCGGAATATTACGTCAGTTTGTTTTCAAGTAAGAGGGTGTATACGTGCTCTTTTGTTGAGTTTTGTTGATCTAGAAACCTTGATGGCATGCAATTCAGAAGACTTTTTATTTCAAATGCTAAATGGAATGACGAGGTTGTGACTTCCGTGCAAGAAAAATCCGACCCTGTGGACGATGAAACGGATGAAGACGAGGACAACAACAATGAAAGTAGCAAGGGTCCATTAAATTCTGACGTGTTTCTGCGTTAGACGCAGCTATGGAGTGGTACGAACAACAATCAGAGTGCTGTCTTACTCAACTACTGCTGCTCAAGAGAATCAGAGACCTTGCAACGAAAAAACGAAAGTGTACAATGGAAAAGCGAAAAATAAGTGATTATTTTCCCCAATCAAGGTAAAATTGTGACATTTTGCACCTACTTTGCTTTTTCTTCAAGCACGTTTCCTGCATGTGATGATTTTCAAAATTTGAAAAGTGTCCAGTATCGTATACTGCATAGATCGCATTCGGTTTCGATTATCCGAACAATCGCGAATCCGAATGGTGTCCAGTCCCAATTTATTCGGATAATTGACGTTCTACTGTAGTTACAATTACATAACCAGACAAAAAGCCTAAGAATAGTTATAGAATATAATGTTATTCCTCAATAATTACAATTACATAAGCAAGACAAAGGTTATACTTTTACATTAATAAATCAATTCACAGATTTATTTACAAAGCTTCTTTCATACAGTAAATCCTGCTTTTGTGAGGTTGATGGGGACCGCATAAAAAAAAACTGCATAAAAAGATATTCGACCATTTCATAAATACTTACTATAACAAACAACTTAGTCGACATTTTTTACTACAATTTTTTTTTGTGCGGTAGAGAGGGACCGCATAAAAAATGTCACATTTAGAAAATAAAGTGAATTAGTTTTACGAAATTTGGAAGAAAGTGTTTCCAAACAAAATAAATGACCAAATTACACATGGAAACATTTTTTAAATATTTAGTTTCTCATTGTATACATGGAGAAGTTTTCAAAATACACATACGCAATTTACTGCCACTCATCGTAATCAAAGCGCTCATCTTCCTGCGATGAATTAGTTCAGAATCACTTTCATCACTTGAAGATACAATTCAAATTCATATATTTTCTGGCACCATAAAGTAAGAGATAAGATTTGCGACGAAGGTCGGTTGATCAGTTGCTTGTAAAATGTCACAATAAACAGATATCATGATCGGTCGCATGATCGATGCTCTTTTTCGGGAATTTCAAACTCCTTTCGGAATAGATATCTATTTTAAGAAAATGCTTTGCTGATTTGTTTGAAACCTGGATCCCAGCATATATTTTATTCGCTCTTAAAGATTCCGGTACTTTTTGCCCGTCTTCATAATTTGCAAATTATTGATAATGTCACTTTCATTGACAGATTCGTCTTCAATCAAGCACGTGACGCTTGCGCGTTGAGACAAAGCATTTGTACGTGCATTGTAGGGAGATAATTAATAGAAAATGAACAGAGCGTCTTGAAGTGTGTATATGTACATTGATAGAGACTGTTACAGCGATGCCAAAGCCGTTGAAATTCATATGCCGCATAAAAAAGCATCCTACTAAAAAAAATCGCACTAAAATAACCGCAAAAAAATAAACTCGAATAAAAAAAAGGACCGTACAGAAAAGGTTCCACTGCACAGTGATTACTGCATGGCTTCCATAGCAAAAAGTACCCCCCCCCCCTCCTCAATCAGTTTAGATCATATTCTCATCGTCATCTTTTCTTATGTTAACACGAGTTAACATGAAATTTTTTAACAGCATAATTGGCTAATAGATGGCGCCACGTTATAGAACCTGGAGAAAGAGACTGACTAAATCAAAACCATACATTTATAAATTTAATTTTATTCACATTTTATGCATCACAATTTCCAACATTAACTTTTTTTTTATTTCCATCCCTTCCCCCCTTTTTTTGAAAATATACAAGTGAACCAATTGAAATGTCACACGTGTTTAAATATTTAGATAATAAGAAACCACTAATATAAAATATAGCATTTATGTTTTATCTACTGTATATATAAATATTCATTATCTATTTCAGAGTAAATACCTCATCATGTTGAGAAATAATAATGTTCACTCCTTTATACATGACATACAATACTCCTTTTTCTATTGAAATAAAAATAACAATATAAACATTATTTCTTAATTTATTCTTAAAATAATTTTGATCATACATTATTTTCCCACTGTTAAACTTAGAAAGAACAGAGTTTGAAGGAAAGAAATAGATTTTGTTTCAAGTATAATACAATGCAGTCGTTAAGTAGATAAAATTATAATTATATAAACGTATTGTTTATAAACTACTGCGCTTCTTGCGATCTAGGAAAAAAATAACCATTGCAATTTTCTTATTTCAGTTTAAGATAATCCTATGAAAGATAATCCTTTACGATAATCTTATCCTCTTACAGGCTATTCGGATTTCACACAATCTAAATTAGTTTCAATACTAATTACATTTGCATTCCGAAAATAACTGAACTGTTCCTTAAACTGAACAGAAACTTAATATGACTGAGAAGTATCGGTAGCAGTGGCCGAGAGGTCAAGGCAGCAGACCTAGAGTCTGAGGGTACATTCCCTGCATGGGTTCGACTCCCATCTGCTACTACCGGTGAGAAAAAATGGCAGCCCGGTGGCCTAAAATATATATATATAATATATGTATATATTTTTAGGTCTTTTTAACATGGGAGTAAATTCAGAAACTTTCTAAAAAATGAAATATCTTTTTCTTTTTTTTTTTCAAAGCAAATGTACACTTTCAGTAAAATTTAATTTTTTATTAAGATCTAAAATTACCTATTTTGTCCCCCAAAAACTTTTATAGTAAATTGCAAAAAGGTTTATTTTTAAATTGTTTAAACATTCTCGCAATAAAATTTATTTTACAAAGATTTATTGATACAATAATTTTTGTTGTTAAGTCAAATCATAATATAGTGTAAACAATTTTTACGCGTAATTATTTTTTGCAAATATTTTTTTTTCTTTTAAAAAAATGTATTTAAATAAATTTCAATTTTATCCTCCCATTCCTAGATACAAATTTAAAGAATTTAAAACATATTCTCATAATATAAAACTTCAAAAAACTTTTTTAAATGGTAATAAGAAAGAAGTAAACACATATATAAAAATTTCTATCGAAAAGTTTATATCCCATTTAAGTAGAAATATTAATTGCTTGAAGTAAAAATTTAATGTTGATAAATATAAAAACATATTCACACGGATCATGATTAACTCAAATTAAAAATCTGATATGTCATATTAACTGGCACCTCTTTCATTTCATTAACTAAAAATAATTAAATCTTTATTAAGAAAAAAAATTCGATTGAACTTATTTTTCAAGTGTTAACATTTCTCAAAAATAAGGGGTAAAATTATAGTGTGTTTCTCAGCAATATATACACTCACTTCCAAAAGTTAAGCGCGAAGATCTAAAATGCAAAAAATCAACAAATACTGCTTTGATTGACACAAAATTTGGCAGTAAAGTAGCATATATATTTATACATAAAACAAAATCAATAATTATATACAGAAATGAAAACAATATTAAATATTTGTGAGTTATCAGATAATGTCATACTGGAGACTTAAACAGAATAATGTATAAAGTGAAAATAAACAGCACATAATGAAAAAAAGGACATTAATAGGGTATATGATCCCCCATCATCTGTATACAAAGTTTACACCGGCACCACTTTAATCATGCCCCTCTTGATTGGACGGATAGAGGAACACAAACTCGAGAGACCCGAGCATACAGTCCATTCATATGTAATCTTCGGCGTACAGTAGCTGCAGATATAGTCTTACCAATGGACACTGTAACCACAGATGTCCCACGTGTGGAGGTCGCTCTGCGATTCCGCTTGGCTACAGTAGCTATATATCGATCTTCCGTGGGGGTTGTAACCCTTGGGCAACCACCTACAGGCCTTCGGACAACTGTCTGTGTAGTTTGGAATTGTTTTCATAAACGTGAAATTACAGAATGATGAATTCCGAAGAAAAGAGCAACATCTGTGATTGACTATAATGTTTCAATGCGCCCCACAGCACGCCAGCGCTCAGAATCTTCCATTCGTTTTCTGGAAGCCATGGAAACACGTATGTTTTGAAAACAAATTGCACAAATGTTTTTTTTAAACACCTTTATCAGCACTTACAATCAACTTCTGTAATCCTTCAAAAAGCTGGCTTCTTATAAGACTGCCCTTTTACATATATCTTGACATGAAGGCTTGATTGGCTGTTACCTAACATATTTGCATACTTTCATCTACCTCTGCAACGAATTGCATCCTCTTCTATTCTGATTGGCTTCCAGAAATTAGCATTTCCCTCTCCGTGCTTAACTTTTTAGAGTGAGTGTATATAACTTCAGGATGCATGCTTCAATAGCTATAAACATAAAAAGCTGAAGATTTTTTTGAGTAGCTAAAATCCGTTTTAGTCAGTGGCGTAGCTTGGTATCCAAAGGCCCTGGTGCCAAAAAAAATACACCGGGGCTCTACCTTGGTTGGGTTTTATCAAATAAAAATGCATTAGTATTTTAAAAATACAAACCTTAATTTAACATCAGCCCTTTATCCTGCTCTGTAGAAAATAGAAAAGTAAATCTACAAACTACACTCATGTCCATAAATTAAGGATAATGAAGTTCAAGCAAAGAAAGACACAGAAGCAAAACAAATTTGACTTATTTGTAAAGTCCATTTATTAAATAAAAGGTAAAGAGCAAAATATATTCTATAAGTTTGACATAATTAACAAAAATTGCGATTTTTACTCCCTGGATCAAATTTCAAAAAAGAACCTTACAAAAAACAGTATAACATGGTTAGTATGATGATTAATACGGAGTATGTCTCCCGGACGATGCAATGCAGGCCTTACAACGCCTACGCATGCTGAATATCAAATTATCAATCTGATCTTGGGGAATATTACACCACTCATCAAGCAATGCCCTCCGAAGTTCCGGTAGACAGGTGGGAGGGGGTTGACGGGCTGCAATTCGTCGGCCAAGCATATCCCACACATGCTCTATTGGATTCAAGTCCGATGAGTATGCTGGCCAATCCATACGGGTGATATCCTCCAATTGAAGGCATTCGTCTACAATGTCTGCACGGTGAGGACGGACATTGTCATCCATAAACAGATATTCAGCACCCATGGCGCCCCGAAACAAACGTACATGTTGTTCCAGAATGACATCCCGATAGATGTGGTCTGTCATCTTTACACTCAGAACATGCAGGTCAGTTCTGGAACCAAGAATAATTCCTCCCCAAACGAGCCATCCTGCACCACCGTAACGGTGTCGTTTAGTGGTGTTCTCTTGGTGGTAACGGGTACCTGGCGCTCTCCATATGAAAGTCCGGCGAGAATCAGACTGCAAACTAAACCTGGACTCGTCGGAAAACATCACACAAGACCACTGTTGTGGTGTTCACAATGTATGCTCTCTACTCCAGGTTAATCGCAGGCGACAGTGAGTTGCGGTAAGGGGAACACATCTGACAGGCCTACGAGCATATAGACCAATGTGCCCTAAGCGTCTGTACACGATCTGCCTTGAAACTGTCGTACCGGTAGCTGAAGAGAGCTGACGAGATAGGTCTGATGCTGTGCTCCGTCTGTTTCTTTTGGCAGCAACTGCCAAATACCGGTCCTCATTCGGCGTTGTATCTCGGGGACGACCTGTGCTGTAACATCTACGTACATTACCATCATCTTGGAATCGTTGCCAAAGCCTGGAGATGACACTCTGGGCGATTCCAAGCTCCTCGGATACTTCCAGCTGGGTACGTCGACATTCCAGTCGTCCGATAATTCTACCACTTAAAAAATTATCCAAATGCTTCCTTTGTGCCATAACTATGCGGTTATTGAACTGAAAGGCTTTTAAAGCGTTTGTGAACAATTTTACTTCTTTGCTACCATTCCATATATACTCCTCTTTTACACTTTCGTCAATGTGACGTACTATCCGCACCATCTGGTGGTTTCCTGGAATTTGCATATTCTTCTTCAAGATGTGTGTGATAATTCTACAGGTGAAATTTTTATTTCAGAGTTCAATTTCTGTGGGATTCTGATTTATCCTTAATTTATGGACATGAGTGTATTTATATGTCTGTGTATGAGTTTTCTTGTGTGACAACTTTTGTGATTACCAATTTTCGGTTTTTAAACATGATAGACAGGAAATGATGCAAAAAATATGCATGAACGGAAAATGTTATAATTTTTTAAAAAAGCGTCTGTGGAAGAACAAAAAGTGGGGGAGGAGGGTTACATGAGACTATTGCAGATATTAGATTGCGAAATACTGAAACAGGAAAATAGCTTATTATGAATCATATTGTTATTCAAAAAATAAAATGGCAAGAAGGATTGCCTTCCTGTGTGGAATTTTTGAGATGCATGGTAAAATTTTCCATGGAATTTTAAGTTTATTTTCAAGTAATAGTTAGAAAGTGAAAAAAATGTAAAATAATATAAACTTTTCAATAAGTAAAGTTCGCAACACTATACAAACAAAGGAAATGATTTTGGGGGAATTTCCTACAGCTCGAAATTACTTTTAACAGAATTGCCTTGATTATAGTTATGTTTTTCAACCTTTAATATTTATATCTTAAATGTGGGAGAAATTATTGCAAGTGCCGCTGGCTTGGTGGTCAGGCCCCAAGGGCCCTTCTGAGCTTGAGCGCCCCGGTGCGCGACACCGCCTAGCCCATTGGTAGTTACGCCACTGGTTTTAGTGGTTAGCCCAGAGTTTCTCAAACTGTGGGACGTGACAACTCTAAGAGAGCATTTTACAAAATCGAAAACAAAAGATTATTTAAAAAAATTATAAATTTACTGAAAGTAAACAAACAAAATACATTCTGACATAATAAAAAATATAATTAACTTTGCACTGATATAATACACTTCATTAAATGTATCAGCATTGCACAATGTATTTTATAACTAATTTAATAATACTAAATTAAGATCAAGTTTAATAATTACGAGTGACCGAAAGGGTTTGTCATATATAAAATTATACAAAAATGAACACTTCTATTGATAGTGTGTACGGCTTATTATTAATCCCTTAACTGCAGATTAAAAATTACGGGATTCGCTCCCCAATGCCACCGTTTTCCACGGAGGCAAGCGTGTGTGATATATGGGGGGGGGAGAAAAGAAATAAGTAAGGAAATCCTCTGAAATAAGTAAATCCTTCGCAATCACTGTCAATGCCCTTTTATTGTATTTCAAAGCTTTCGGAATAATTTAACGGATAGCAGTGCACAGAAAAGATCATACTTCGGAAAGACTTATATATATGTCCAGGGGAAATAGCGCTTTAAGCTGAAAGAAACGTTTATATACGCTTGTGGCCTTTAAGAAAAAGTCGTATTGTAGGTTTAGTGTCAAAATATAGTATTATTTAATTAAGCACCTTGTTATTTGTAGGGAGGAGGAGGGGAGATGAATATTATGGAAGAATTTTGGGTCGCAAATATTGAAAATTTATGAATCGCTGGTTAGCCACCTTCCCCTTCTGTTAAGAACAAAAGTGAGCAGCGGTA